TGTGCCAATTCTTTTCTTCCATCAAGCATAGAGTTAGCATTACATCAAGCAACCTACATAAACAATCAGGGAGAAACTGATGACTCTTGATCAAATAGCACATACATCAGACACTGAAGTTTCTATGGACCTAGGTTTGGAGTTAGACATACTGCTCTAAGCGAAGAAGAGACCCAGGTCTCTAAATTAAAACTTTTGACCTATGCTGTTATCAACCATTCTGATTGTGAGTGTTGTGGGGTAAAATCAGAGCAACAGCTTGGGCAGGTAGTAATTCTGTGTTCTTGGATATCTGTGAATATATCAAGATGGATGCTCTATGCCTGGATCCAAATGCCTGATGAAAAAGATAATTGAAGGCCGGGCGGTGGTGGCGCACGCCTTTAATCCCAGCACTCGGGAGGCAGAGGCAGGCGGATCTCTGTGAGTTCGAGGCCAGCCTGGTCTACAAGAGCTAGTTCCAGGACAGGAACCAAAAGCTACGGAGAAACCCTGTCTCGAAAAATCAAAAAAAAAAAAAAAGATAATTGAAGGCCTGGGAGTGGGAAACTGTTCTGAATTAAGGAATTAATCCCCAAATATATAACAGAAAGGAAGTTCAACTACAGCAAAAAATCTACAGCAAACGACACTTATTCACAAAGCAATAATGCAAAAAACAAGTATTTCCTTTTGGTTTAGCCTTTATCAGATTCCTTGGTTCTGAAAAGTCACTTGTGAAAAGATGACTGCATTTATTACTGTATAATATTGTGACTTTTAGCACCCTTGATCACCTATGGTTGTCTATTTCTCTAGCTAGAACCTTGAGTACTATACTGAATAGATATGGAGAGAGTGGACAGTCTTGTCTTATTCCTGATTTTAGTGGGATTGCTTTGAGTTTCTCTCTATTTAGTTTGTTGTTAGCTGTTGGCTTGCTAAAGATTGCCTCAAGTGAAAGAAGAATCAATGCCTGTACCTAAAATTACCTCCAAACACAGAAGGGTAGAAAGCAGTATGAGAATGTATTCAATAACATAATGAGCAATATGGCATTACCAGAACCTAGTAGTTCTAAAACAGCAAGACATTAACATTCCAACACAGGTGAAGTAGAAGAAAATATCTTAAAAATAATTTTATGAAGATGATATAATATCTTAAAGAAGAAGTGAAAAATCCCTTAAAGAAAGTGAGGAATAGACAAAGAAAAAATGGGAAGGAATCAATAAATCACTTAATGAAAGTCAAGATAAAATTAAACAGGTCAAGGGAACAGTTCAAGACTCCAAAATTGAAATAGTGGCAATAAAGAAAATATAAACCAAAAGAATTTTGGAATTGGAAAATCTGGGGAAGCAAACATGAACCACAGATGCAAGCATAGAATAAAAGAGATGGACGAGACAATTTCAGGTATCAAAGATGCAATAAAGGAAGTAGATTCATTTGTCAAAGAAAACATCAAATCCAACAAATTCTTAGCACAGAACATCCAGAAAATCTGGAACACTATGAAATGACCAACCTAAGAATAATATGAAGAGAAGACTAACTCCAGTTGAAAGACAAAATCATATATGAAAAATTTCAAAACCTAAAGAAGGACATGGCTATGAAGGTACAAGAAGCTTACAAAACACTAAATAGATTGGACAAAAGAAAAAACCCTGGCCAAACAATATTCAAAACCACAAACACATAGAATAAGAAAGAATACTAAGAGCTGCAAAGAAAAGAAATAAGAAACACATAAAGGCAAACCTATCAAAATTACACCTGACTTCTCAATGGAAACCATGAAAGTCATAAGGCCCTGGACAAATGCTCAGAAGACTCTAAGAGACCAAGGATGCAAGACCAGACTACTATATCTAGAAAAGCTCTCAATCAGCATAGATGGAGAAAACAAGATATTCCATGATAAAACCAGATTGAAAAAATACCTATACACAAATCCAGTCCCAAAGAAAGTAAAGCTGAAAACATAAAGAAAACTCAAACTTAAGGAAGATAACTGCACCTACAAAAACACAGCCAAAAGGTATCCTCATACCAGAAAACTTCGAAGAACAGAAATACATAAACACTAACACCACCATCACCAAAACCAAATATGAAGGGTTGTAAAAGTAAGCAAAGTGTTAGGAAAGGATTTTTATTTTTTGGATGAGTTTTTCTTTATATTACTTTATTTTTTTAAAGATTTTTAGTTTTAAGCTATTTTTATGACCATCAATAATCTTTTTCTTTTTCCTTAATCCTATGTAAATTGTAAACTTATTATAATGTCCTTAGAAACTTTTTCACCTAGATCTGTAACCATTTTTGTCTGTATGAGCAATACTTAAACCACTATGCTGCTTAGCTCATGACATCATTGCGGTTGGCTTCACACCCCAGGGCCAAGAAACCATAGAAATTCAGAGTGTCATGTGTCTACACAATAAATGTATTGACTCAGATCTTGCCAAATTCTTTTCCACTCTCCAGCCTCAGAGCCAACTTCTAGCAAATATTCACCAGTGTGATGGAGTCTGCCTGAATTTTATCCATATCACATCACTGCTCTTCCAATTGGAAAAGTTGGGAGAAAACAAAAGGAACGGATTTCTGGGAACTGTTCATTACGAAAAAAAACCTCTTTAGTTGAATTCACAAAGAAGTAACTTCAGTCAGCAAACAAGTTGATTTTATCAAGTTAAGATCTTGAGAAGGACTGATTCGCAAAGAGGAAAACCTGTCCTTGAAGGCTTCTTGTAGAAGTTCCCACTTGTAAAAGCCAGTATTGAATAGGGTGTGAATAATTTCATACATTTCAAATTGAGTAAATTCCCTTCAAAAGAGAAACAGACAATAGTGAAATGATAACATTGTTCCATAGCCACAGACCTACTTATACGACTCCTTTGTAGTAGAGACTATTGTCTTTACCTGAGAGATCTCCAGATAAACGGGAACTCTCCAATGTGACCAAGTTACTTCAGTGTACCCCAGTAGTGAGACAGCCTACCTCAGTCTGACATCACAAAGGCATTTTGGTGAATACTGCTGCATGGTGCCTTTGTCATTATGAGCCAATGCCTAGAACAAGTCAATTATTTTTTTGAGAAAAAAAAATCTAATCCTCCCATATTCCCCAAATTATCTGCCCTTGTTTGAAGAATTGTATATTCAAAACTATCCCATTTGGAATCAGGATTTTCATTCTTTTACAGAGCCAGCAAGCTGGGAATCAGTGGTCAGTTTGCTTACTGTGCCTAAGACTCTGTCCTATGAATTAAACTCCTCTGCCCTCCTGTAAGCTTCTGCTAATATGGCCTATAAAGCAGTACTTATAGCATTACACTGCTTTCCTAACCCAAAGCACCAAAATCCAAATACCACCAGACAAAAATGACAGGATTATTCCAGCAATACTCCAGTCCCTGGTGCCAAATGGCTTAGTTAGGGTTTTTATTACTGTGAAGGGACATCATAATCATGGCAACTCTTTTCATGTAAACCATTTAATTAAATATTTGCTTACAGTTTGAGAAAATGTTGTTTAATCATCTGTGAGTTAGGGAAATATAGGGCAATAGTAGGCTTCCCAGTAATTGTTAGATTCCTAAGAACCTAGTTAGCCACATCACATAATTATCACATGTATGTGTTTGCAATTTTCTGGGGAGTCCTAGACAAGAAAAAAATTGTAGGCCTCAAAATAGTTTTCGATAACTTCAAGTATTTTATTCTTTAAAGTTTTATATTATGAAATTATATTATACTATTTTATGGAATCTATGTAGGCTTTAATAAAATACCCACTATACTTTGGAAGACAGTCTTTTGTGAAAATGAATGGAGATAGAGTATAGTGTATTACAAGAAAATAATATGGAAAAATAGATTAATAATCTATAAAAATGAAATTAATTATTTTGGAAATACTAAGAATGTCTATTTTAAACTTTTCTTCACAATTATTCTGTATTCTCTGTTTCTCTAAAAAAAGTGTAACAATTGAAGTTTTATGATATACATACAATATGCATGTGTAAGTACATATATATTATGTTTATACAAATAGTTTTGTCTGAGAAGATAGTTTTGGGTATGATTGAAATATTTCAATTGTAAGATGGTTTGTGGATATCGGAAGATAGAAAGTTAGAATCATCTATGGTATAGGTTCCTGGGTGAACATAAATTGTGTCTAAGGTTGTCAAATTCCACATTAACCTATACCCATAAAAAAGACAAGAGTCAGAAATGGCATGCTAAAAATTTTATTGTTGTTAAAAATAGATTATGGCCACATTATTCCAGTTGCCCAATTCACCAAAGCCAGTATTTTCTTATTCATTATCTAAAAGAAACAAACACAAAGAGAAGTTATAGAAAAATCACAACAAAATGAAATTTCTCATCTCTTTCTAACAACTTAAATGATGTAGATAGAAGTCTATGTTTGGTTTTTTTTTCTCTTTCTCTACTCTTTGTCCCTTCCTTTTCTGGTTCTTTTTATTCATTTTTAGTAACCATTTAGCACATCATACACACTGAAGAAAATGAACCAAATATATTTTATTGGTTTTATGGCTTTAGAGAGAATGCATTTGATGTTAAAATGGTGAATAAGGCATGTGAGTATAATCACAGCACTTGGGAAGTAGAGGGAAGATGATTAGGAATTCAAGGGTATACTTGGCCACAGAGCAAGCTTGAAGTCAGCCTGGTCTATATGAACCTTATCTCAGGAACTCATTTAAACTATAAGACATATTTACAAAGGTGGGTTACTAAGGCAAATTTTAAAAGTGAAATACAGAATCCAGCTTGAACGTCCATTGACAGGATATTAAAACTAACCAAAAACAGCAAGAGCAACAGAATGTTACGGCTCACCACTGCTAAAACAAAACCACTGAAGATATGAACACAAACATGCTGTCTCTATGAACTATTGTGGATGTATTGTTTTAAAATTAATATAAGGGTACTATGAAGATAAAAAAAATATTTCTTTTTCTTTTTGAAATATGGAATGCTTCACAAATTTGCGTGTAATACTTGCGCAGAGGCCATGCTAATATCCTCTATATTATTCCAGTTTTTAGTATATGTGCTGCTGAAGCAAAGATCTGCTTGTATTTCTAATAAACTGTTGATAAAAATAGTGGAAGCCATTAATAATGGACAAGGGGGGGAGGAATAATGCCTTAACTTTTAAAAGTTAACTTGATGCCTTGATTTCTCATTTATTTATTTTTTCTTATTCTGGGCATAATAGGTGAGGTTTCTGGAATGAGCAATGAGGCAGCAGAATTTAGGAATTACATTGCACTTCTTGCACAAACAATATAAATCACATTGTCAATCACGTATAGGCATTGTTCCTCACAATCACAATAAATTGAGCAGTATACAAAACATTAATCATCTTCCTATACCACCACAGATTATCCAAATAATGATAGTAGTATAAAAATAGTAGACTATCCTAATAATAGTAATAGTAATAAGAACTCAAACTATGTAATATAAATATATTTAAAGTTGAGTTAGCACAGCTTGTGCTTGCAAAGCTATAAGAATTATGATGTTTCATTAACAGTGATTTCAAATCCTACCTGATGATGTATCTTTGATTACTGAGGACCCTGGCCCTGGGAAGGTCCCTGAGGTCTGCCTCCCTGTTGGGGTGGGCCTTGCTGGTTTCCAGGCTGAGGGCCTTGATTCTGCTGCTGGCCTCCTTGTTGGGGTGGACCTTGCTGGTTACCAGGTTGAGGGCCTTGGTTCTGCTGAGGGCCTCCTTGTTGGGGTGGGCCTTGCTGGGCTGGACCTTGCTGGGGTGGGCCTTGAGGGCCTGGTCCTTGCTGGGGTGGGCCACGTTGGGGTGGGCCTTGAGGGCCTGGACCTTGTTGGGGTGGGCCACGCTGGGGTGGGCCTTGAGGGCCTGGACCTTGTTGGGGTGGACCACGCTGGGGTGGGCCTTGTGGGCCTGGACCTTGTTGGGGTGGGCCACGCTGGGGTGGGCCTTGAGGGCCTGGACCTTGTTGGGGTGGGCCACGCTGGGGTGGGCCTTGAGGGCCTGGACCTTGTTGGGGTGGGCCACGCTGGGGTGGGCCTTGCTGGGGTGGGCCTCTCTGGGGTGGGCCTGGCCTAGGACCAAAACCGTGGTGGCGTGGAGGACCGTGGGGCAATGCTGCAAAAGAGGATCCATGATTAGAATATGAGATGCAGATGCATGTTCTTTATTTGCTACATCACAAGAAGTGGTAAGTTTAGTGCTTCAACAAATGCCCTCTCTCCTTTTATCAACAGCTCAAAGATTATTACATAATTTGTGAGTCATCCTCATGATCATTCCCACCTAGTTTTTATAGAAATTTTCTCTGAATACATGTATTGATGGTATCAAAGATAGAATCTTTATGCTTGGAACTAGAATTTGAGGTCTTAGAAAACTAATTTTCCTTGGAGTGGACAGAAGCAAAAACATAGGATTTTAAAATTATTTGAGTATCCTACCCAGAAATGTTCCTATGTCTTTTCTTTCTTCTGTTCTACATTCACTGAGGCAACATGCCTGTTATCCCCCGACTACTTCATTATAGGATATTCACAGTGGGTCTTTCTTCTGTGATTCTTCCTATTGGATCCTTCTCAACACAGAGAGGTGACTTTAGAGATCCAGCCTGACCTTTTCAACCTTCTGTTCCCACCCTTAATTAAATTTGTATTGTACGTGACAACATTCAATTCCTTGGTTTGGAAAGACGATTCAAACACAATACTTTGGTACTGATTTTATATTGCTGCCTTTCTGCTAATCCTCTTCTCTCTCTTTGCATCTTCTAGGAGTGACATGTGATCTGTTACCTAAAAGCAGATTCACTGAACAAACAACCATATCTCTTACCTTCACTGAAGCTCTGAAGAGAGCTCAGGGCCAGCAAGGCGGCTGTGAACAGGACAACCAGCATCTTGGAGTCTCTGGAGATTCTTCCAAGTCTGTGCTGCATGCAGTGTGGTACCTGCCTTTATATGACCCAGCAGAAGAATGGTGCCTTTGATCCCATCCTTGGTGATCTCATATTTGACAAAGTAGGAAATACTGCATCCTTGACTCCTCTTTGGGAGTTCTGCCAGCTAGTATAACATGAGGCATTGGAAACTTGGACTAAGAGCAGATGAAGCATAGCTATGATGTTAATACCTATATTAAAATTTTGCCATTACATGAATTTCATTGTTTTTGGTATGTATTTCTCATATAAAGTTATGATATAGTGGTGACTGATACTTTTTTAAACATGAAGATGTTTCATATAATATAGTTTCATTTTCTTTTTTCTTTCTTTCTTTCTTTCTTTCTTTCTCAAAGATTTCTGTCTCTTCCCCGCCACCGCCTCCCATTTCCCTCCCCCTCCCCCAATCAAGTCCCCCTCCCTCATCAGCCCAAAGAGCAATCAGGGTTCCCTGCCCTGTGGGAAGTCCAAGGACCATCCACCTCCATCCAGGTCTAGTAAGGTGAGCATCCAAACTGCCTAGGCTCCCACAAAGCCAGCACATGCAGTAGGATCAAAAACCCATTGCCATTGTTCTTGAGTTCTCAGTAGTCCTCATTGTCTGCTATGTTCAGCGAGTCCGATTTTATCCCAGGACAAATGACCAGGTAAAATATACATTATGTGTTTTTGAAGTTTTTTTTAACTTTATTTTTTTTAAGTCTGTAGCCATAATTTTAAAGGGATCTTCTCGGATCAAACACAATTCTTTTTAGCTCTAAATGAATCCACGGAGACTTTTGGTTTTTTAGGGGGAAAGGGATACAAAAACATAATCTCTTCCTCAAAGCAAAACACCTTTTGACATCCATTTTGAACTAAAGACATTTTTCAAAGTATGGGTTGGTTTAATCAAGCAGCATTTGCCATCCGGTGTTTCTTAACAGCTACCATTTATTCATCTGCAATAAAAAATCAAATAATAACATATTAGATATATATGTATATATGTATTTTTATGTGATTTTTTCTACTATATTATTATTTTTGAAAAATCTTATTTTATTATTTTGAAACTCTTTCTATGACTATCTGCTCTTTTTCTTTTTCTTAAGACTATGTACATATTAATCACATTGTAACCTGGTTAGTGGCTTTCTCATCTGGCTCAGTAAACATTTTGTCCATGAACAAAACTTAAATGACTGTACAACTCTGTTCATGGAATGGTGGTGGTTGCTCAACACCCCAGAGCCAAGAAAACATAGGAATGCCAAACATTTTCTGCTTACACTTTGGAGGAATTCTGTAAATGCAGTTATTGTGGTCTCCCTAAATGCTCTTCCACTTTCCAACCCCAGAGTCAACTTCCATCACATAATCATCAATCTCTTGTTTTCTGCTCAAATTGTATCCATGCCCCGTTGTAGAATAAATATGGCCTGACTGGTCCATGGCCACTTTTGTGTAGACTGGTCTGCATTAGCATGCACACTAATGACTTCCCATTGGGTCAACTTGGAGTTTTTCATCATGCTTGTAGATTACTGATGTGGGGATGCCCTATCCATGGAACCAATAAAAGGAGGCCAGCACCACAGACTCATTCACTGAATTCCATGGGACAAAGTGTGTGTGGAGGGGTGGTATAGGCAAGCATGATTTCTGTAGTAAATGAGTCTGCAGCTACATGATTCACTATTCAGCTGACTCCCAATGTCTATGTTATTGACTCTTTACCTTTTCCCTCCCTCCATCAAGGTGTGTCCAAGCAGGATCATGTGCAACATCTGTTACTCAATATAGGGTTTATGGATTCTGTACAGGCATTGATCTTGACTTCACTTAAATCAGATTATATTTTTTTAGATGGTTGTGACTGTTTTGGGGTCCGGATATTTGCATTTTGTTGCTAGCGGTATGTTGACTATGTTGGTATACTTTTGCTTTTTTTTTTTTTTTTTGGTTTTTCGAGACAGGGTTTCTCTGTGGCTTTGGAGCCTGTCCTGGAACTAGCTCTGTAGACCAGGCTGGTCTCGAACTCACAGAGATCCGCCTGCCTCTGCCTCCCGAGTGCTGGGATTAAAGGCGTGCGCCACCATCGCCCGGCTACTTTTGCTTTTCTTATGAGTGCTCTTTCAAACTTCTCTTCATGACTGCAGTGCATCACAACGTACCTTTTTTGGTGACTTTTTAGGTGAGTTGATCCATGAATGTTTCATATCCTTGGTCCTCATGAAGGTGAACATGAAGATGCTCCTTTTCTCTTTCTCTCTTTATGTCTGTTTGGTACCCCTGGTGCACTAGGTAGGAATACCTACTACTACTCTTGATTCATCAGGTGCCTCTATATAAAGGCTGATACTCCAGGAATTGGAACCCCATGGTGATCCCAAACATTTTCCTCTCATCCAGAGACACTGTGTATGTCCATGTAGACATACAACCATGGACTAATGAACCACAGAAGTCCCCCACTAAGTGTAAGACACTTGGATTCAACATATTTACTGTTTTATTTATGCCTATCTTTGTGTAGTTTAGAATTTGTTCTTGCCTGCTCTGTATTTCCTACCATTAAGAGAATTATGGAACTTACACTCCCACTGAAAGAAACTTCAGACGAGGGCATTAAAATTAATATTGGTCAACAATGGCCTTAAGGTTAATAATGGAAATCTTGAAGATTTGGGGGATGATGTTGTGGGGTTGGCCCCACGAAAACATGTGGGTCCTGAACTCAGGATGGGCATGTACTTTCTTGACCAAAAGCATAAGGTTGGCTCAAGAGTGTCTCCCTCTGTTTCCTTTGTCCCAATCCTACTAGCCATCACTTCCAGTCATAAATCACCCCCACTTCAGAGGAAGTAAGAGCTGCTCACAATAAGCATTGTCAGCAACATACCAGTATTAACCTCTCTATTACTTTGACATCATATATTGCAGAGGAGGAGGAGTCAGACCACTCATGCCAAGCAGTGCCTCCCAAACCGACATGTTCTGTTGACAGTGGTTTCTGGCCTGCCCAATCACACAGCTGTTCAGTCCCAAAGAAACACACAGAGGTCTACATTAATAGTAAACAGGTTGGACTATTAGCTTAGGATACTTATTAACTAATTCTCAC